TCAGCGTACTGAGCTGCTTGCCACCTTAAACCATTTGGTGCTTAATCCTTACAACCATGCATGGACTTAAATCAACGTACTGAGCTGCTTGCCACCTTAAACCAACGTCCACTTTTGTCAAAGAAAGCTCACATTAAGGACTTAAATTCATGAATGGACTCATATCAACCATCGAAATGACATTTTTATGCATCTAGAACATCAAATGGACCGAGATCTAACACCTCTAACTTCTGGAGTTGCCCAAACTCACAAAAAGAACCCATGGGACCAAATAAACTCATAAACAAGCCCTAAACTGTAACAATCAAAATGAATCATCAAGGTAAGAACTTTTTACATTCGAAAGCTTCCAAAGTTGATGAAGAATCTGGGTCTAGGAGCTCAACCTCAACAAATGCTTGGTCTCCAAGTTTCTTCTTCTTGAATACACACTAAAATGCCACAAAATCACTTCAAAGCTCAAGAACACTCAAACGGGGTGAACTAGGGTTAGAAGGGACGTAATGAACATTGGAGGTTGATGAGGGTGAGTGTCCAAAGGCCATAATGGTGTTTAAATATGGCTCATGCCCTAAAAATTAGGGTTTCGTCTTTGGCTACGTACGCCCAGCGTACGTGGCTAAACTCCCCGATCCAAAAGCGCGTATGTACGCTAAGCGTACCTAAACGTATGCCCAACGTACGAGGGGACATTTTTGCAAAAAAAATAAAAAGATAATAACTTCAAGGACCAAAGAGGAAAATACCTGGAATCGAATGTTACATGTGGCATTTTTGTGAATATGATATTAACTTAACAAAGGTTGAGTTGTTATTAGGATGAGTTATAGGTTATTAGTTGTTGGTCCCATGGACGACGTCAATGATGTAACCAAGTCTTGGAAGGGGAGGCTTGGTGTGAGAGATATTGAGTGGTAGAGTCTTCTTGCTTGAGTTAGATACATTAAGACTTGTTGATCACAAAGAAAAAGATACAATCAACCTTAATTTGGGGGTGTCCCAAGATTACGCTCTAGCGCCTAAGTTTGGGATGTATTACTCAAGAGAAAATGTATGAGAGTTATAAAGAGAAATTGGTAGTGTGATATTACTTGGTGATACCTTATATGAAGGAGGTATTTATAGTATTGATAAGGACATAAGGTGATAAGGTACTATTTATGTGCCTCCATCGTGTATGTTTTTTGCAGGCGATCATATAGATGGTGCATGACCCTTTTCTAGAATTGGCCGAGACACTTTTGACGCCTTCGTCGAGTTCCGAACTTAGTTGTTTGTTGCTGTTGTGGTTGCTCTCTCCAGTCATATTGTGAAATTATTCGTGCATGAGTGAGGGTGCTTTTTAGTATATGGCCTATTATTATAAAGATATAAGTGAAATGAAATTGTTTAAATGAGACTCATTTATAAATCTTTAAAAGTTTTATAGCAAATGGTGTATATTTATAGATCATAAAACTTTATGCAATGTGGTGTTGCATCACATGGCACCAGGACGTGCCACTTTTCTAGAATTCTAAATGAGGTCAAACATGGTTGATAGCGTTCGTGATTAGTTCTAATTGTGTGAAAGTCGCCCTAAATATATATTGTGAATTCACACATGTTTATGTTTAGTGCAATACAAATCAATTAAACCGTTTTTCTCAAGTTGCCTCCCTTTGACGAATTTACCAACATAAACTAAATAAATTATACAATTACTATTTATAATTTAATTCAGCATGTTATGTCTATTTCTTTGAAAAAATCTTTAATTTGTCTTCAAAATGACTAGTGTCCACAATTTTTTTTCAGTTAAAAAAGCAATTTCTATTCTAGAAGACTTTGAACAACAAAACAATATTAATAAACATCATAATATACTTCAAAGGCTCTTCATTCAGATATACACACACAACTGTATTTAACAATAAAAACGATGATGGCGATGAGAAGTTTGTTTGTTGTCATGTTGTGAACGTTTGAGCATTTTAGTTATTTAGTAAGTTTATAATCCTCATTCCCACCTGTTTTTTACATAATGTATCATTAGTTCATTAGTTGCTATATAGTTGTTTGAAGAAGATAAACTACACTAAAGACAAAAATAAGTTCTAATGCAAAATTAAAAATAAATAAATCATATTCGTTTTATTGACTTAAGAAAAGGTCCAACTTATATATCTACATTGGGAGCTATCTCTTATTTAAAAAGGTTCAACATCATATTTTTAATTTTTATATTAAAATAATCTGTACACTATAATAATATATATAGATGTAATGTACATCTTAATAGTTATATAATATGATAGTATTTCCATATTAACAAAACAATCGAACTAAACAAATGATATATGGATGTGACTATAAAATACATCCAAATCTATATATACCTTATAAATGTCTCATATGTTTTGTACAAGTTTATATATATATATATATATATATATATATATATATATATATATATATATATAGGTTCAGGTTCATTTGAGACCATTCTAATTTTGTGAGACCGTGAGACCAAATCTAAAAATAATTTTAAAATGCAAAATAAATGGAAAAATCCAAAAATTCTTTTTTTAAATATTATTTTCGGAACTTGAATTAACTAAAAAAAATAAAAATAAAATAAAAAAATAAAATAAGAAAAAAATAAAAAAAAATTCCGTTTTTTTTGAAAAATACGTATAATATTCTAATAGAATATTACACTGACATATTCTAAAAAATAATTTTAAAATGCAAAATAAATGAAAAATCTAAAATTCTTTTTTTAAATATTATTTTCGGAACTTGAATTAACTAAAAAAAATAAAAAAAAATCCATTTTTTTTGAAAAATACGTGAAATATTCTAATAGAATATTACACTGTACATATTCTAAAAAATAATTTTAAAATGCAAAATAAATGGAAAAATCCAAAAATTCTTTTTTTAAATATTATTTTCGGAACTTGAATTAACTAAAAAAAAATAAAAAAAAATAAGAAAATGCGTCTCACGGTCTCACAAAATTAGGCCGTCTCACATGAACCTAACCCTATATATATATATATATATATATATATATATTATATATATATATATATATATATATATATATATATTATCGTATGAACCTGGTGAACAAAAGTCCAACAAAAATCGAGGAGGTATAAAGATATAATATACAATATTGCAAAATAATTGTCTACATGCTATCACTTCAGTAGTTAATTTATGGTTAGCGGGAAGATGTCCAACCATTTTGGCAGAGTTTGTTGCGTCCGTTCCTCTCACGCCTCTACTTAAACCTGACAACGGGATCCGTCCGATTGCAGTAGGCACTATATGGAGACGTCTGGTTTCCAAGGTTGCCATGAAAGGTGTGGGTAAAGAAATGGTCAAGTACCTCAATGATTTTCAGTTCGGGGTTGGTGTATCAGGCGGTGCTGAGGCTATGTTACACAGTGCCAATAGGGTGTTAAGTGAACACCATGCTGATGGGTCTCTTGTAATGTTGACTGTGGATTTCTCGAATGCCTTTAACATGGTGGATCGATCAGCATTGCTCCACGAGGTTAAGAAGATGTGCCCTTCCATTTCTTTGTGGGTGAATTTCTTGTACGGGCAAGCAGCGAGACTTTATATCGGAGACCAACATATATGGTCTGCCACTGGGGTGCAGCAAGGTGGCGCCCTCTTCTTTTTGCCCTCGTTTTGCACCCGCTTGTGCACAAGATTAGAGACAATTGTAAGCTCCTTCTCCATGCTTGGTATCTAGATGATGGTGCTGTCATTGGGGATTCAGAGGAGGTGGCTAGAGTGTTGAACATTATTCGGTTGCATGGTCCAGGCTTGGGTCTTGAGTTGAACATCAAGAAAACAGAGATTTTTTGGCCCTCCTGTGATGGTAGGAAGCTTCGTGCCGATTTATTCCCAACGGATATAGGGAGACCTTCTTTGGGGGTGAAGCTCCTTGGGGGGGGGGGGGTTGTTAGCAGAGACGCAGAGTTTATTGGCGGGTTGGCCATGAAGAGAACAATCAATGTTGTTGATTTGATGGGCCTTCTTCCATAACTATGTGACCCGCAGATTGAGCTCCTTTTGCTTCGATCATGTATGGGCATTGCAAAACTTTTCTTCGGTTTAAGGACATACCAGCCAGTACATATAGAAGAGGCAGCTTTGTTCTTTGACAAAGGATTGCGCATGTCTATCGTAGATATGATGGTATGTGGAGGCCCCTTCTTTGGAGACATTCAGTAGCGCCTGGCTTCCTTACCTATTCGTTTCGGTGGTTTGGGTTTGTACTCGGCATACGAGGTTTCCTCCTACGTATTTGTAGCCTCGAGGACCCAATCTTGGGCATTACAAGACCACATCTTACGTGACAGTGGCGTATGTGGTATGAACTCGGATTACCTATGTGCTATGACTCTTCTTCGCGATACAATTCCGGGATTTGACTGTAGTGGTTTCACTAATAAGGACACCGTCCCCCCCCCCCCCCCCCCCATAAATCCCAAAAAGCTTTGGCGTGTGCCCTTTTTAGCAAAATCGTCCAAGATATGGAAGTCGACTTCGACATGACTGTCAGACAGAAAGCAGTCTTTGAGTGTCTGCGGGCACCTCATGCTCAGGATTTTCTGCTAACTATCCCTATTGATGGTCTTGGCCAGCATATGTCTCCTGTGGAGTACCGAACTATCCTTCGTTATCTGCAAGGCATGTTTGGATACCTTTGGAGAACACGCGATTCATTGTAGAGAGCTCCCTGGTTTCAAGTACAGACATGATGTGGTTCGGGATGTTCTTTTTGATGCTTGTCGGCGTGCTGGTATTTCTGTGAAGAAAGAAGCGCCAGTGAACTTTTTGACGGACCCGCAGGATGGAAGGTCCACACTTAGACCGACTGACATTTTGGTCTTTGGATGGATAGGAGGGAAGCATACGTGTGTGGATCTTACTAGGGTCTCTCCTCTCGTTGGTTTGGGGAGCGGGGGTTTCACACCTGGGCATGCCGCCGCATGCAAAGTGGTAAAGCACGAGAATGCATGTATAGAAAATCAACATGTGTTTGTACCTTTTGCATTCGATACATTTGGTTTTCTCGCACCAGAGGCGGTGGAGCTCCTTAATAGAGTCCAACGAGTCATGCATTTTAATGTCATATCTCCTAGATCCACAAATGGTGTTTTCAAAAGAATTGGTTTTGTCATCCAGAAAGGGCTAGCGGCACAGCTTGTTGCCCGTTTGCCTTCCATCGATATGTATTGAACTATATTAGTATATAAAATCTTGGTCTACAAATAAAAAGTTTATTAAAATGTTGTAAACTATTTCTACATTGCATATACTAATTTTTGCAATATCATAATTTCATCTTTTCTTAATCTACAAACAAACATGAATTCCAAATTATATGAAGCTTTAATGAACCATATTTTAATGACATAAAAGTATATATATATGTATTATTTTTTCCAAAGGAGTGCTTTACGACAGTGGTAACAAAAAGGCATAACGGAAATAAAAAATAATTTGGGTGGAAATTGTTTCTGGATCATGATACAGTCGATCCTCTTCTTCTTCTTCTTCAAAACAACCCATCATCTCCCTACTCCTTTTCTCCGACTCAGACGCCGTCCACCTACCGCCGCCGTGTTCGCCACCCTCTCCACCGACAAATAGAAAGCCTACTGTCTGGTTTCCTGTTTTATCTTTTTCTATTTTATCAAACTATCTGCTTCGATTTGCCGCCAGTCAATCCGCGCCTGTTCGACGATCAACTGGCGATCGCATCATTTGGTACTTCCTCCCCCCTTTTTCTTATGTTACGATGCTTTTCTGTACTTGATCTGCTTGCCTGGGAATCCATTTCATATCTCATCGTAAAATTCATGCCCGAATCTGTGTTTTTCTTTGTAATGTAATTTCTAATTCGGATGTTTTTGTTCTAACTTTTCAAAATTAGGAGCGTATCTCTAGCTTCGTCGTATATACTCCCTGGAAATTTGATTTGTGCGTTTGAATTTTGAACTCATGATGTTTAGGTCATGGTTTTATCGGAAAACCTATGTTACAAAACTTGTTTTGAAGACGATTCAGTCGATAGTTCTATTTCCAATGTTCGATTATATATATTCCAGAGTGTAATTTCTGGTCATGGAGACAAATTAGAAGGTTTTGTGATTGATTGATTTGCACAAACTTAAAATCCGAACGCTTTCTCATACAATTGATGCTTCCATACATATATTAATCATATAAATCAACATTCAACAGGTTTTTCTTGGATTATAAACATATGAATCACTTCTATCTCCCATTTCCTTTACAGCTAAGGTGAAATTTGGATTGCCACTGTCTTTTACATTCAGTTCTTTTCGCACTGTAAAAGGCATGCAGAACAGTGGCAGTCTTCCCAAGAGCAATTCCTTAAAAACCCCTCAACAATCACTTCGTCGCCTCAACTTTTGCTCTCAAATATCAACTGGTCAACAAACTTCTCCTGTTGTGTTCCCTGAAAAACGTACAAAAGGAAAAGTTTCAAAACGAAACGATGTCAGTGCTAACAACAATGATTCCAAGAATTCAAAGAGGGAAGAACACAAGATTGATATTGGAGATGAACAATCTGACTTACTGGGATATGAGGTCATTTCTGGAAAGCTAGTTTTGGATAAAAGAAAGACCATCAAAGCTACTGATTCACAAAACTCAACAGAAACCTCACACCTGGATTCCATTGATGCTAAACTAACAAGCAGGGCTTTGGTTTGGGGTTCTCATGTTTTAGCCCTTGATGATGTCATTTCAGTAAGTTCAATTCTTTGTTTCAGATTCTAAATGCTTTTGTTTTCGTGCAATTTGAAGGGAATAGCAATGCAATTTACTCTCCTTACCAATATGAGCAATGCACTTCATCTTTTACCCTTAATACCAACATAATTATACTTTTCTAACAATCAATGATTATTATGACAGGTGTCATACAGCTATGGGATGAGACATTTTATAGTACATTCATACCCTATAAAAAAGCGATCCTACAGTCTTTCTTGTTTCTTGAAATCTGGAAGAAGTAGGAAAGATTTTTGCTTTTTGGCTTCTACACCAGATGAAGCTTTTCAATGGGTTACAGGGTTTGCAGATCAACATTGTTTTGTGAATTGTTCACCTCACCCTATGGTATCTTCAAAGAAACAAGATTCTGAAATATTGGCTACTGATTTTTCTTATAGACATATTAAAAGTAAAAGTCCACCTAGGATGCTTGTTATCTTAAATCCTAGGTCTGGACGTGGTCGCTCCAGTAAAGTTTTTCACAATTTGGTTGAACCTATATTTAAGGTATTTTTTTTTATAACCTTTAATCTTTTCCAACAACATTTTATATTAGACTTAATTGAAAATTTCTTTCTTTATTTAACAGCTTGCAGGGTTTAAGCTTGAGGTGGTGAAGACAACATCTGCAGGCCATGCTAGAAATCTAGCTTTCAGTGTTGATTTCAGTACATGTCCTGATGGTATGCATTTTACCAAATTGCCCTTTTTTTTAATTGGAGAATAGTTTGTTAATCTTTAAGCTTTCATTATACCAGGAATTATATGTGTGGGAGGCGATGGAATTGTGAATGAGGTTTGTATAGTTTTTAATTTGAAATGTGTAGATATTTATTTATATTAAAGTTTATAAAATGTTATTGATTTTGCAGGTTTTGAATGGTCTTCTTTGTAGAGATAATCAGAAAGAAGCAATTTCAATTCCAATTGGAATCATTCCTGCTGGCTCTGATAATTCTTTAGTGTGGACTGTTCTTGGAGTTAGGGATCCAGTTTCTGCTGCTTTAGCTATAGTCAAGGTAATATCATCATCATTATTATTAATTTATTATTATTATTATTATTTAAAGAATTACACAAGTCAGAGAACACATATCTAAAAAATTAGGCAGTCTTAAGGTTTGTTAATGGAATCACAAAGGAATGGAATCGGTCATTCATTACATTCCAATTCCATTATCATGTTTGGTTGACTAGAAAGAATGGAATGAGTCATTTATCTAAAATTAGAAACTAACTAAAATTAAATCGAAAAAAAAAATGTTATTCTATAAAATTAAACTTTAATTGGATAAAAATATACTTTTATTTTCCAGGGTGGTCTCACTGCTACAGATGTATTTGCTGTGGAATGGATTCAAACCGGTGTCATTCATTTTGGAATGACGGTTTCCTACTTTGGCTTTGTTAGTGATGGTAATTCCCAATTCCATTCCTTCATTCCCCCTTTTGGAATCACACAAAAAGACATGACATGACATAACAGACTGTATTGTGACATGACATAACAGACTGTATTGTATTGTGACATGACATGACATAACAGGTTGTACTGTATTTGATTGTTATACAGTATTGGAACTATCAGAAAGATACCAAAAGCGCTTCGGTCCGCTCCGTTACTTTGTGGCGGGAGTTTTGAAATTCCTCTGCTTACCAAAATACACGTACGAACTCGAATACCTCCCGGCATCCAAACAAAAATCGGATCTCGAAAGAAAAATATTAGCAGAGAAAGACACAGTCGACATGTCGGACTTATACACAGACATCATGAAAAGATCCGAAGGAGGCGGAATCCCACGCGCCTCATCTCTCTCAAGCATCGACTCCATCATGACACCCGGGCGGACCCCACTCGAACCAACCGACACAACCACCGAACCCTCCGATTACGTCCGAGCCATTGACCAAAAGTCAAAGCGGTTATCCTCGGGTCGACCCAACGTGACCTCCGAACCCGAAGTCATCCAAACCTCATCCACCCCGAACTGGCCGCGAACCCGGTCAAAGTCCCGGGCGGATAAAGGGTGGAGCGGGTTGACCGACCCGACCCGGTCGTCCTGGGGGAATTTAGGGGGAAACGATAAGGAAGATATTTCGTCTACGATGTCGGATCCGGGTCCGATTTGGGATACGGAGCCGAAGTGGGACACAGAGCCAAACGCGAATTGGGAGATGGAGAATCCGATACAGTTGCCGGGCCCTGGCCCTGTTGTGGGTGTGGGCCCGGCAACTGAGATCGGGGTTGGGGTTGTGTTGGATTTGGAGGAGAATTGGGTTGTGAAAAAAGGGAAGTTTTTAGGGATTCTTGTGTGTAATCATTCGTGTAAAACCGTTCAATCTTTGAGTTCTCAAGTGGTGGCACCGAAAGCCGAACATGACGACAACACGTTGGATTTGTTGTTGGTTCATGGGAGTGGGCGGTTAAGGTTGTTGAGATTCTTCTTGCTTCTTCAAATGGGGAGACATCTTTCGCTTCCTTATGTTGAATACATCAAGGTTAAAAAAAATAGATTTTTAAAGTATAATGTCGTGATACTGACAGATTGACACTGATACTGATACTGATGTTGTAGGTTAAGTCGGTGAAACTGAAGCCGGGAAAGAGTACGCACAATGGATGTGGGATTGACGGGGAGCTTTTTAGGGTGTCGGGGCAAGTTGTGTCGTCGTTACTTCCGGATCAATGTAGGCTGATTGGTCGTGCTCCGAGTAGTAGTGTGAAAGGACTATAATGCCCTTTTGCCGTGTTTGGGACAGTCGTGTTACATATATATGAGGTGACTGTATAATCTTCTGGCTGTTATTGGTTTGAATTCTTCTTGTTGATTTTTTGTTTGTTTGTTAGTATTTTGGTCTTTTTATATATAATATATAATATATCATATAAATATATATATACTTTTGTATCTATTGGTGCCTAGAGTGCAATCTGTTTTTTATGGATGGAAACCGATATTTTGGAGTTTATTTGAATTGGTTGATGTGGATGTGTATTGTAAAGCATTTGTAGAGTTTTGAGTGTTATTATTGATTTCAGTTGTTGGCTGTTTTTTTTTTCAAAGATTGTTGGGATTGAGTAAATTGTTTCACTACTTTTTCTAAATTGTGTAATAAATTATAGGGAAAATTCGATAAAAACCACTGCGCTTTGTTTAACTGATGAATTTTTTTGTAGCCTTTAAAAAAATCACTACATAGAACTTTTTATAAACAGAGAGTTTGAAAAGTGTTTTGCGTCACTTGAAAATTTTCTTTTCGATTTAACCATCAAAAGTTTATTTTATTTTTTTTATTAATTTATAAAGAAACCATTTTCATCGAAAAATTAATCTTTGTTATTTGTAACCCACTAATGGAAAAAATATGAAATGGTTTCTTTCAAAAAATACAAACTATAGGTGATTAAACTAAAGAAAATCATTCAGTGTTAAACCAAAAAAAAAAAAAATCACAACTACAATTGTTTTTTTTTATAGAATTTGGTCTAAATTACAGCACAAATTCCATAGAAACAATAATAGTTTCCTCGTAATGATTGTAAAATGCAAATGGAAGAATATTAATATGGTTAAGGGTAATTTCTTTTTTTCCAAACTATAGTTGTAAATTATAAAGAAAAAAAATATGATTTATAAAGAACAAATTTTAATAATAATTTTTATAAAATTCAAAGTTTCATGTAGTAGCCTTTTAAAAAAAAATCAAAAGTTTCGGTAGTTAGTTAGAAATATATTTTTTGGTAGTTGAACCTTTTTCTTAAATTATACTAATAGTTTTTTTTATAGAATTTGACATGCATTATATAAAGTTAACTACCTAATACAATGGATCACATGAGTCTTTAGGCAAGATGTTAGGCAAGATATGTATCAGAAAAGTTAAATGAGTTTGGGTCGATACATATTATTTTTCATTTTGATTAATCAATTTTTTGTTGGTTTTTAAAATTTTTTTTATCAATAATTATTAAATTTCATATGATTATAAATATTATTTTATTAAAATAACATTCAATTTTTATATTAGTATAGTTTTAGATTATGTGGATCCATTCTGACTATATCGTTTTGTCATCTTTATTGCCTAACAATGAGATGAAACAAATACCTAAAAGACAAACTTTACATGGCAAAATACTTGATGGAATTAAACAAATAATCTATGATTTTAATGGTTCATTACAAATCATTTGTGACTCATACTATTAGTTATGCTAATTAATTAACATCTAAAACTTATATCTTCATAGTGATTTGAATTAAGTAGTTCTTATTTTTTGTCAAAACTTTTAAAAAGAAAAAGGAAATTAAGTGGGGAGGCTTGAAAACGGAGGAAGAGGTGTATGAAGGTGATTTGATGACATTTTTAGATCAATATTAGATATCCGGTATGCTATAATCTTAGAGAAGATCTAATTAAAGTTTATAATAGTTGGAATATTTTATATTAATCCACAAAATCATTTTTGTCATAGTAACTACTTGCATCATGCTTATCAAAATCTAATCATTTGGTTGGTAACTTACGTCATGCTAAATAAAAATTCTAATAATTTTAACCAAGAAATATTAAATAATGTTCATGTTATATAAGACCATTCACATTAACTTTTGCAATCATAATTCACATTGTAATTACAAAACTTTATTATAATGGTCTTCGTGGACACATCAACAACTCAACATCAACAACTAATAATAAATAAAAATAACAAATTCAAGATTTAAAGTTATATGTATCCAACTAAATTGTTTAATAATTGTTTTTGATGAGTTTTTATATTTAAATACGAGTTTTAAAAATAATGCTATAATATTAAATAATTTAAACAAGCTAATCAATTATTATAGATATGATGATGTAATAGTGTTTTGAGGTGTTTTTGTTGTTTAAAATGATAATAAACACTTTTGAATGTATTCTTTTTTATAAATTATAATGAAACATATTTTCAGAAATATATTATCTTTTTGTTAATTATTTTATTCAGTATTTTAATAGGCATTAAACACAAAAATCATTATATGTTAATATGACATCGTATTATGATTGGATTTAATCTACTGTGTAATTTTAACATTCCATCTCATTTAACTACATATTATCAAATTGTGTGATAATCTTAGAAGTATTGAATTTATAAGTATCTTTATTTGTTTTGAATTGGCTTTATGTAACATATTAAAAAGTATATTTTCTAACAAAAATACATTTTGGAAGAGATATACTAGAAAAAGTTTATATTCTTGATTTAGAAAATTTTCCTTCAAATTATATACCAAACTATTGAGTTTGAAATCTAACATGGTACCATTTTGGACCAATAATCATTTATCTAAATCGGAAATAATTGGATTGTTTATTTAGGGAGAATTCTGTATATTTCATTGTTAAAAATCAAACTATTATATTTATCTATCAAAAAATTTAAATATCATATTTATCCTTATAAATTTTAAAATACTCAAAAGTGTTAAAATGTTTTTTTTAACATTTTATAATAAATTTAAATTAGTTTTAGTAATAGACTATTATAATTTTCATATATTTCCTAACCTTCATTGATTGATTAAACTTCAAATTTTCATCTAAAAAAAGTTGATCGTGATGATTTTTGAAACAAAACAAAAAATGCTCAATGTGTTTGTGAGGTATAGCAAAACAGTCAGATTAATCAAAATTATGTATGCAACTCTCTTGCTTTGAATTTTGGTAGTGTTAAATCCTACTAAAAAATAATGAACTAAATGTCTAATGAATCCAATCTTTCTCAAAAAATTAAAAATATAAGTAATTTACTTAGACGAAGGGTTCACCACAACTGAGTTATATGACTTAACCACATAACTATACATACATGTCTAAACATAGGTAAGTTCATAACCAAAACATGTTTATGTTTGAATATATGTATGTTCATGTTTGGACATATGTATGTTGTAAGTTGTAACACACTGTTCCAAGTCGTTTCATAATTCGGGGTCGTGGCCCGAAGATCAATTATCATAAGGCTTCGGGATTTAGGGAAAGAGAGGATTAGACCCTTTTTGGTTGAGGGTAATGTAGATTATGTGATCCAAGAGTTCGGTTTGTGCTTTGGAGCCAAATGGTATAATGGTAAAAAGGCAATGGTTCAGGCCTTTCATGAATTTAGGATTTAAGTTCAGAAGGTTTTAAGGCGATTGCGAATTTATAGGAGCGTAGAGCTTCTCATTACCTTTCCGCAAATATAAGGATCATCGAAATCGGAGTTAGAATGAAGAAGTTATGACCTTCGGAAGTTAGGAGAATTATGGGGCTAAGCCGAGTACGTTGGGCGTACTGGGAGTATGTCACAACTAGCATTTTTTAGCTAGGAAATTATGTTTTCATGTAAACATCAACTCTTGTAAGACTTGTAATCTAAGTGGATATCATATTCTATGCTCAATCAAAAACATCCATTTGAATCAAAACTCCTGAGTGAAGTCCAAAACCTAACTTAATACATCTCATATACTCAACTATGGGTTTGAAACCCTAATAACCCGGTTCAAACTTAGTATGGACTAGGATCCTCTTATTGGGCGTAATGGGCCAGTAAACCTGTAACATCCCATTTTAAAGGGATTAATTATATAATAAATCAGGAACTCCGGGAAGTAATTATTATTATTTTTATATTGTTAGAGCTCAGAAATTAAATAATAATTAGTGGGTTGTTGGTTTCGGGAAGTCGAATGACAAGAATTGAACTCCAGGGGTTAAAGTGTAGTTGTGGGACTTAATTTTGTAAAGATTTTTATAAGCCAAGGGGCTGTTTGGTAAATTAGGGATCGAATTTGAGGATAATTATAGAAGCAGGGGTGAAATTAGTAAATATTGTACCTAAATTGCAATGAATCTTGGATGCTGGGGGCTGAATTGTAAATTATAGCCTTATAATGAAGAGAAATTGGGAAGGAGGGGCTAAAGGTGTACATTAAGGAAAGGTTGATATGGCTGGGTATTTAACCTGTCACCATGCACCGGTTGCTAACCCTAACCCTGATAATTGGTTCAGCCGCCACTCTCTCAAATGAACACCTCCGGCCGCCGCTTAGTCGAGTTCGAGTGCCGCCATCCGTAACCCTACTGCCGGAATGATGTAGTGAACAACAAGATCTTCAGGTGGGTCGCCGGAACGCCATGAAACGTGATTGATGCTGCTGTCCTCGGTGGGTCTCGCACCACCGTCCTTCTCCATTCTTTCCGGCGTCGTTGTCTTCTTCTTCTTCTGCCGCTGCACAGTCGTCATTTCGGGCGGCTGTTGCGGCTGACGATTCTCCGAACTGCCATGCGCCGCCGCTCGGTCGCTGCTGACGTTGCTGTAGATAACGAGGCCGCCGACGAAGACGAAGATCGCCGCTGCCACCTTCTCCTTCGTTTAGCCGCCGCTGCTGCCCTTCTCTTGTGTCGCCGCCTCCACCCTTGCGGCTGTTTCCCTCCGACGAGATCGAGTGGCAGTCGGGAACACCCACTGGCACCCTATTCTTCTTTTCCATTCGTTAACCATTGTTGTTGTGCGTGTTCTGAGTCTGCATGTGTTCGAGTTGCTGCTGTCGGAGAAAAAGCCAAGGAAAAACCACCATGGCCGCCGGCCATGGTGGCTGCCGCCTCAAGGACCGCCATAGAGGGTGTGTATGCTTCTGTAGGGTGTTATTTTATGTGTGTGTGGTTATTAGTGTTAGTGTGTGTGTTAATCGGATGGTATTGTAAATTGTAACAAGTGGAATAATGAAAGAAAAGCTCAAACCACCACCGTAGGGTGGTGGCTGCCGCCTCCTGCCGCCACCGGCCGCCATGTCGGGTGGCAGTGTGCCTTGTTTGGTTTG